TGTAAAAAAAATGTAAACTAGTTGGTATTGGTATTTAGCCTTGAGGCAAGTTACATGAACTTCCCGATATGTGTAAATAAACGACTTAATCAATAAAAATAAATTAATTTATGAGTGTATTTATTACACATAATTGAAAACGAACGAACACGGTAACTCGGAGTCAATTTTTCGAACTCAATTTTTTATATTTGAACCAGTTTTTGTAGGATTTTAATGGTTTAGTAAGTTCTATAAGACCATGATATATTTCGCTAAAAAAAAGTCCATAAGAATCGGATTAAATTTTTTTTCAACAGTTAATTACAAGAAAACGGCTTGGTGAATTTTCACCTAAAACTAATCAATACCATTTCCAACTAATATCTTTCGAACAGTTTTTGATTTTTAAAATCGGTTCGGTAGGATGAGCTTAAATGTGGACGAAAAGTTTAACACTTTTTTCAAATTACAAAAAAACGGCTTGGCAGATCGTCGCACAAAACTGACAAACGATAGTCCTCATCGAAATACATCAAATGGCTTTTAAATTTCTGAAATCGGTTCAGGCGTTTTAGAGAAAATGTCGAAGAAAGGTCTAATTTTGACAAATGCCAAAAAAACGATACAAATTTTTGCAAATTTTGACGAATTTTCAAAGTTAAACCAATTGTCGTAGGGCCGTAATATTTTAGTATGATCCAGAAGACTATAGTATCTACCATCAAAAAAATATTAATAAAAATCGTCGAAAAAAATTTCTTTAACACTTTATTACAAGAAAACAGCCCGGCCGATCTCTACCAAAAACTAATCAGCACGATTCCCAACCAATATCTTTTGAACGGTTTTTGAATTTTCATAATCGGTTTAGAATTGCGGGCTAAAACGCAGACGAAATTTTTTTCACTTTTCTGCTATTCATAAAGAAACGTCTCGGCCGATCGTCCCACAAACGATAATCCTCGTCGTGATACATCGAATGGCTTTTAAATTTTTGAAATCGGCCCAACCGTTTTCGAGAAATCGTCGATTTTCGGCAAAAAATCTGTTCACACACACACATACTTTTCCCTTAAATTTGGTCTCATTCGATTCAGAATGGCTTGAAACGTTGAGAGAACATAAAATTAGCGAATCGGATTTTTTTATGAAAACATAAACTTCTCCTTGGGAAAGTTAATACCTGTTTTAAATTGAAGTTGTGCAGAAAAATCACTTTCTGGTACCAAAGGTTGATAGTGAATCCAGTGTGTTGGATAGTAACCAGGATCTGCTACAAGTGTAACAACATTGATGTCATCTATAAAAAAATATAATAACATTATTATTAGTATGAAAAATTATAAATTATGGTGAAACAAATGTAAATACTTGTATTAATTTGAGGTGGTGCAGAAAAATCACTTTTTGGTACCAAAGGTTGATATTGAATCAAATTTGCTGGATAGTAACCAGGATCGACTTCTAGCAGAAAAATATCAATGTCGTCATCCGTTTCATAATAATCTGAAAAATGGAAAAAACAAAAAATTAGCAAAACCCATTTTCTGGCGAAAACCTAAACTTCTCCTTCGGAAAGTTGGAAGAATTCCCTGGAATATCAAATTTATTTGCACTATTTATTAAATATTTTACATTTCTCAAACGGTTTTTCTTTCATCATCAGTGAAATATATTTTATTCTCAATCACTAAAATATGAACCAGAACGTCCGTGTTATCCGATGCACAATTTATGACTCAATACATGTGTATTTCGCCCTTTTGACTTAGGTAAAATTTGCAAAATGTCACTGGAGTATATTCATGTATTTTTAGTTCTAAATAAATTTATTGAGACTTAAGAAAAATGCGAAATAAACGTGCATGTCCATATTTTAGTGATTAAGTATAAAATATATTGCCCTGATGATGAGACAAACTCGGTATCTAAACGTTTGTAAAGTTTATGTATTTATTTTAATTAAAAATTCAAAAAAAATATATTTTGTAATCAAATAATCCTATGTTTTACTCAATAAGCGTATTAACAAATTTTTTCATACCACAAAAAAATTCACTCACCTTCAGAGTTAACAAATTCCAAACAAACACACAATAAAAATATTAATATATAAAACTTCATAGTGATACAAATTTGTTTTTATTATATTATAAATTTCTTTTATTAACTAAAATGCGAATTCGAGACGACTGCGCTAAAAAGTGCTTGTGAAACAATTTTTGCAAAGTGCAATCGAAAAAGTAAATTACGTAATGCATTTTTTCTATTGTAAACAAAGTGTGAGAATATGTGAATGATTTTTGAAGAAAAAACTTTCCTTAAAGATATAAAATGTAACAGAATATGATTATTGAAACAATTTTTTTTTCCCAAAACACTATATTACATGTCAGACATATATGTCAGACATATATGTCTGACATAAAGATTAACATGTTAGTTATTTAATGAACTTGAAGAATAACAAAAATAAAATTATGTGTCGCATTTTTTCTAAATGTAAGTGAATTTATTATAATGACAATATGTAAGTAGATTTATTAAAATTTATAAAATGCAACAGAATGTAAATCTTGAAAGAAAAACAAAGATTTTTTGCCTAAACACTATTTTATATGTCAGATACATATGTCTGACATAAAGATTAACATATTATTAATAATAAACCAAAAGAATAATAAGAATAAAATTATTTTTTTCTTACGTAAACAAATTGTGAAAATATGTATCAAGTTTTATTAAAATTTATAAAATGTAACAGAATATAATTATTGAAAGAAAAAAAAAAATATTTTGCCGACACACTATTTTATATGTCAGACACATATGACCGACATAAAGACTAACGTAATATTTATTTAATAAACTAGAAAAATAATAAAAATAAAATTATGTGTCGCATTTTTTCTAAATGTGACAATATGCAAGAAGATTTATTAAAATTTATAAAATGTAACAGAATTTAATTATTGTAATAGAAAAAACAATATTTTGCCAAAACACTATTTTATTTGTCAGACATATATGTATGACGTGGGTCAAGTCAAACTTCCTAGTGTCAGTCAGTTTATGACTGATATGGCGTTAAACGTGTTAATTATTTAAAAAACTAAAAATAATATTTCTTTTAGTCATTTATTAAAATGAAAGACATCTGGAATTTAAAAAATTAATCGTTTTCATAGATCAGAAATAATAGAACAAATTAAATTTTCTTATTGACCAGAAACAAAATGGGACTTTACTGACGAGCAAATTAAATCCAAAATATTTTTTTTGACAATCACAAATACCAATTTCCTGAAAAAGCCCTGTTTTATTATTTATTACTGATCCGAAATAAAAGAGGA